AATATTTTTAATGTTAAGTCACTTTAATTTTTCCTTTTCTCTAAGTGTGTATATATATAGGTAGAGAGAGCTCTGTGAACCTGATGAAGAAGAAAGTAGCACAAACAAATCAAGACGAGATTCAAGACACGAGCTATACATATGTAAGGAAACAAGCTAAGGCTAATGACAGCATAAAACCGGAATCATGATTTGAGGAACAAAGATCGCAACAAATCTGCTTTTTCTTTCTTCTTTTGTTTCTTTTGTTGGGAGATTTGTGAGTTGGAATGCAATGGCTACAAGCACAAGAAAGAAGTTAGCTAGCTCCTAGCTACCAAAAACACTATCTAGCTTTGAAATTTCAATAAATTTAATCAACTTATTGGGACCCAAGTATATATTTTTTTTTGACCGTGTGTTATAAATTATAATTGTGGTTTCTTTCCTCATCTCAATGTTGTAGAACTTAAATCCACGCCATCTCTTATATGCGCAAAAATAAAGTTACCAAGTTAATATTATTATACTAAACTACAAGGGTTATTGGTAAAAAAATTATTAAGTGAAAAAAATTTAATATTAACAATAAAACAAAAAAAAGTAATTTAAATACAAAAAGAATTATTTTACTTAAATACAAAATTTATATTAAAATTCACATATCTAATTTTTACAAATTTTAAATTCTATTTTCATCTATCCTATTATTATAATTGAACATCACCTTATATTTAATTATATCTCTTAGGCTTTACCCCAAAAATAAATAAATAAATAAATAAAAATTATATCTTTTGAGAGATATGATTGTAGTTAGAGTCACATAAAAATATTTTATATATATTTTTTAAAAATTAATTATAGTATCTAAATATTTTAAATTATTGACTAATTTTAGTATATTAATTGAAAGTAATTTATTATTTTTTCAATTATCAATTAAATAACTACACACTTACAAGATGTTCTTTAATACTTAAATTAAACCAAATTAATATTTTAAAAATTAAAATTAAAAACAATTATATAACTCCTAACACTTTTTGTACGTTGCAATAATCCACGCCGAAAGGACTAATGGGTTCTTTCGTATCGGTGTCCGGTCGGTACGGTGTGGCATTTGTGGACCCATTAATATATATATTTTTTAAAAGGGTTTTATAGCAAGTAAATCTCAAAGGATAATTATTTGTTGATTTAAATAAAAAAAATTTTTAAATAAAATTTTAAATTTAAGTTTTATAAATAAAAAAATAAATATTAAAAAAATTTCTTTCAAATAATTTCAAATAAGATCAAATGTGATCCTATTTCGAATTAGTTATAATCTAATACGATAAGTAGATACTTAAAAAGTTTGTAAAAAAAAGACCTCAAAGCCCAACGGGTAGATTGGTTGGAGCACACGACGGGGACGGCCACCGTAAATATCGCAGTAAAGGTGGAAACCATCACCGGACGTTTCCCGTCAAGGCAGATGCGTTGCATATCTGCTACACTATAGAGTACAAAGATGGATAGATATTCAAAGTCCAACTGGGTCTGCAATTTCAGCCATCCAAACTGGTGGGACAGCCCAATCTGCCTTTACTAATATTTCATTTTGGTGCACTACCATCACATGGTCGTCGCCCTCCTACGTGACGTTGAACCATCACTCTTGTGGCTCTGTATTTTATTTTATTTT